TTCATATTAATTCATCTATAGATTTTTTTCAACACCACGACTTGTCATTTAACATGCTTGTGGGTACAGCTGAACTTTAAAGAGAAGCTGTTTCTCTGTGTTTGGCTGACGTGGACTGGAAATTAAATAGGAAATTGCAAAACATACAGTAAAGATTTTCAATTTTGAATATAAATTAGCCAATTGGTTATTGTAGACATGGCATGTTAATAATACCATGTTGTTTCTGACTAGGGATCATAATGAAAAGGGCGCTTGTTGAGTTTTGTCCCACGTTTGCCGAAGGTGTAATCAAAACTTGACGATGCTTTCAGGATAAAGCATTTCAAACCGCAATCCTGCAATATGCTACATAGCCACATTCAATAATAGACTTAAATATGTAAGTATTTTAAAGATCTATATATGGATGGGGAGTATTAACTAGCTTAGGCTATAAATGATATGTATGTGGCACTGGTTCATGATACATTTTCGTCCTTGTGCCAAAGCACAACTGTGTTTTTAATTAGATTGATGCTATATATTTATATTGAAATGTTCTAGTGTGTAATAGTTATCAGATAACACGACTGATTGAAATATTATTTCAAAAATGCATGTGAACTTTCTCAAAATGTTTTTGAGGGATTATTAAAGCACACATTATATACAGCTGCCAGGAATCAAACCCAGGACTCCCTGCTCAAGGAATTTGTGCCAATGGGGTGTGACTAAAGTACTTGGCTTTCATGTTGCTCACAGTTGAACTTTTTAATTAATTTAATAGTTATTAAGAATTTCGTAGATCAGGATCTCGTTTGAAATCTTGAAAACCTGACTGAGTTATACAATAACAGTCCTAACCAGCTTCCTTAAAAAAATACATGAGAGTATTTGGAGGGATTTTACCACTTTGGTATGAGTGCAAGCAAATATTTGTTGTAGTGGCCCACTTTGGCTGAATCCACCCTGGTCCAATGAAATTATTATTACTGTTGGGCAAAAAACTTTATCCAATTACTGATATTTAATTTACAATGATCAGGAAATCTGGGTGGTTTGCCATTTTTGTTTGATAAATGACAAACTGATCAATCATAAATGTCACGCATTAATTTTCTGTGCATTGAGTAATGGCTTTACCTCTAGGATGTACATGAATACTTAGACTCTTACAATCATTTGCTGTCGTTTCCCAATCTAACTTGACATTTATGGAAATGTTAGTGCTTATACACAAAGAATTGTCATAGTACCTAAATATGCAGCTTTGACTTTTTCCCATTCCTGAGGATTTGTCTGCACATTTGAAGCGAAGCTGCCAGCAGAGAGCACCACACACCATCAAATAGCAGCAAACTGACCAACAACCACACTGGACTCATGTTGACAAAAAACCACAGTGTGCAGAGCTCGGAAATTTCACTCTAAAATTTATCAACAGATAAATATACAGCTCGGACATGACTTTAAACATCAAACATACAGCACACTATAATGGAAATGATACTCAGTGACAGTAGTATACTCAGAACAAAACCCCACATAACGGTGTGATTAACGGTGACAACAAACATAGAATCAAAATATAATCATCACAGTTAAACTTCACCAAAAAAAAAAAAAAAAGTCAAGTGTCGGTTTCTCTGCATACATGTATAGCATCGATTTAACAGATGCAGAGGGAAAACGTGGATGTGTACAGTATACGCTGTAATGCCAGTGGAATTAAATGGTATCAAAAGAATCATACAGCACAATAAAGAGCGAAGTAATCATAGTGATCCATAAAGTGACTTAGCACTGAAGTCTTTCTAACATATTAAAATAAAGCTTTGTTCTTTGGCATTGCACATTTCAATCTGACTTGCTTGAAAATGACCCCAAAAGGGTTTCATCCTAACATATTCTATTTTAATAAAGTCAATTAACACCCAATAATCATTAATAAATTCTTCAAAATTGACATTAAAAATTGGAGCATACATTTTTTTTATGTTATTTTTGAACTAAAGCTCTTCAAATGTATAAAACAGAAAATATTTTACTTCTTTTGGGGCCGTTAATATAAAATGTAATTCACTGTTTTCATTCACAATCAAGTCCAGCATTTAAAAGACTTGTGAGAACATGCTGGAGGAAAACGTTGAAGCACAAGGAGCTGTGGACTTGAATGGTGGCAGATTTTCAGGGCGCTGACATTCCACTGCATTGACTTAAAATGAGCTTTTCCCGTGAGCCCCAAAGAGCTCGTTTATACGTAGTGATTGAATGCAGCACATTCCCACCTATTTTTAGGGCATTACTCATACCATGGGCCCCTGTAAACGACTGTAGGTGGACTCCCAGTGCAGACTTTCATCTGGCCGTGGAGAGTAATGGAGCTCATATTTCACTCTAAAACCCAATGCCTAATAACATAATAGTAAAATCAAATATGGTCTGCTTAGGTGAAGTCTGGAGGGGTTTTTGCAAATAAATCACCATCAGGTCTCATGTCATGACAGATAGTGAATCATTTCTTACTGTATTTCACTGAGAAATGCAATCAACTCAGATATGTTCACTTTGGGGGTCCATCTGAAAAGTCTGCTGCATACCTGAGCAATTAGTTCCTTGCAAAAGCAGCTCCAGATTATTTGCTCTGCTATGCATTACACTTTTAAAACACTGCAAAAGTAAAGATTCAAATGTTAACCCCCCCCAAAAAAATGTAACTGATGCATACTATCACCTGCAAACAACTGGGCTGAAAGTCAGACCAGAACAAATGGAATGCTTATTGAAACTCACAAAGCCTTTATGGCACAATTTACAGCCCTTTTTTTTTTTTTTTTTGCATTTTAGGCATGGGTAATACGGGAAACATGGCAAATAAAGTGTTAACAGAGAACTCTACAGTGCTGTTGATTACCACATCCTGAACAAGATCCTAAAGACCTCAGAGGGCTCTTTCACTGAGTCTTTCATAGCATCTGAGTCAGCTCTAACAACACTGGCTGATGACACGGGGACAGTGCATTTTAGTCACTGTGTGTGTGGGCGTTATAGCACAGAATTAGCTCTGGCTGATTATCTGAGCAGTCAGATGTGTAAAAATGATATTAATAAGCTGGAAATAGTACAGAAAAGATACAATCTTTGACTCCCAGCAACTGGGATGGACTGAATATACAAACGACTCCAATCATATATGATACGGGACATATCTTTGGCACAAAAAGTAAAGCTATGGAGCCAAGGCATTCATTCTTATCAAACATCAGTGCTTTTAGGAAAACATACTGTAGGTACAGTATGTTTATAATGGCCTTCAAAACCCCAACTCTTCTAGAAGCTCAGTTTTATACAATATGGCTTAAAGTGTATGTATAAAAATAAATTTGCTATGTAACACAGCCCTGAGGGTTTTGTTGTCCACCAGTATTCATGCCGTCTCCACATCCCCGTACGGATGTGGGTCTCCATCAACAGCTCCGCTCCGCTGGCTGGGAGTTGCCTCCTTTGAGATTAGCTGAATTCCACAGCAAGTGTCCTCTGGCAAGCCACACTGTCACCTCAGAAGCCTGTTTCCTGGACCCCCCACCCACAAAAAAATATCAAGTCTCCAAAAAATATGGAGAATATTCCTCTCTTCCACATATGGAAGACTTGAAGGGCCTGGTGCCACTGGGGCGGCTGGGCTGCGAGACCCCGTGCTATTGGATCCTTCCCGACCCAATCCCTAATCTCACTGGCTCCTCCGGGACCCCAACTGCAAGTCTCAGTGGTTCTTTTCCATCCAGTCCCAGCTTTCATCACTGTCTTTCCTGTTCTTTTCAGCCTCGATGATCTCTCTATAGCGCCGACGGAAGAATCCCATCTGTCAAAGGGCGAGAGGGGCAACATTTTGTGCGGTTAGTAAGGTGTATCTGCGGTCACATCTGACTGCAGGAGTGGAAAACGTGTAGTTTCCCATCTCAGCTCATTAGCTACCAATAAAATATACTTTACATTACTGCTAACTATTTTCCAAAGCATATCATTGCCATTTAGGGTAGACTTTCCCTCTCTGGAGGTGGTCGTTTTTCAAGCCAAGTTTTTCAAACATGGGGAATGCATAGCTGTGACCTAGAGTTGATATTATCACCCCATATTAGCTTATTACAGATATATTGGTATTGGCAAATACGTCTTCTGTTAAAGAAATAGTTTGACATTTTTGAGAATACTCTCATTTTCTCTTTGCAGACAGTTAGATGGAAAGCTAGATAATGCTCTCATGTGTGCACTATGAATACAAAGCTATAGTCAGCAGGTGGTTTGCTGGTTTTGCTCTTATAGGTGTTGTGTTCCAACCAGTGCAGCAAGATCCTGACAAACAAAAGCTCTTGCACATAACTCTCTCTAAAACCACAATGTGTTGTTTTTACACTTCAGTTTTACACTTAAGATCAGTTTATTTTGGATATCTTCATATTTTATGAGATAGATCCAGCAGAACCAGGAAAAAAATATTTGCACCACTGTGGTATTTACTCAAATCACTATCAGAGCGCTCAGTACAAAGCTTGAACAAAGTATATAAAGACAATACTGTCCATAAATCCAAGATATTCATGATATGTTGGTAGTTATTGGCAATCATGTAGCATAATGCACCCAATACACAGTTATGGATCACTTAGTATATTCAAACTCTGAAACACAAGCATATCTTGGTTCTATTAACAACATTTATAGAACTGTTATCTGAAATGTTGGCTTGTGTGCTGCATTTATCACCTCATTCAGTCTATTGTTAGATGACCTTTTAAATAGTAATATTGTCACCCTCAATCATTTTGTATCGAATGGACTGTAACATCACAGTGTTGTCCATAAGACTTATAAAATTCAGCCACAGAACAGCAACGTTTTTATTGCAATAAAAAAACTGGGTTTACACAACATCATTGTCTTGCTTGTCTTGTGGATTTGATTTTACATCGCTCGCAAACTGCAATGTTATTCAGCAGACTGTCAGGGGGGCCATTAAATGCACCACATAGAAAGAGTTTATCTAAAACAGTCCGTTCTTTCACTTGCATTCTTTCAAAACTAAAAAAATAGCAGCCGAGAAACTAGAAATGACTACCTCGTGGCTCTATACCTTTGCTAACCAGTTAAAGTTGCAGTTTCAATTCATGTCTGGCCAATTTTGACCACAGAGTGTAAAATGTCATTACTTTCGTTTATTCGATTAGAAATTGTGTGAATTTCTGTCATAGTTAACTATGAAATCTTAAGTTATGGCCAAAAACAAGTTTTGCGAAGTCACAGCGACCTTTGACCTCCAACTTCTAATCAGTTCATCCTTGAGCCAAACTGAACTTTTTTTCTTTTTTTTTTTTTGCCAAGTTTGAGGAACTTCCCACTAGGTGATAGGAGATAGCTCATTCATGAGACGACAAACGGAAAACATAATACCTCCAGCTCCAGCTGTCCCTGTCATAGAGGCATGACAATGGATGTCTGGGAGGTATGAAATCAATTTAACACATCATGGCATGGAATCTTTTAAAAATGGACAGCAGTAACATAAATAGGTTGAGGTTAATAGGCTAAACCCCACAAAAACAGCAGCAGGGATAGAAGCACACCAAGCATTTCCCTCGCAGAATAAGTTGTTTTTGTAGGAATGTAATATTGTGAACTCATTTATAATTCACTGAGCTATAACCTGCCTTTACCAAGTGTAATATAAAGGAAATATGACGGGATGGCGAGAGCAGTAGACTCTTGGTGTGTATTTAAACAAAGCAGCCGCACTGGGATGCTGCCGCGCTCACTACGACTCCATTCATTTATCTGCATTTGGCTACTAAAGTTTATTGATACAGACCTGTGCGCTCCTCAGGCATTTCCTGCAAAGAGCAATACAGGACATGTGCCGCTCTTGTAAGTAGAGTTTATTTTGGCAAGATCTGAAGCCCTGGGGTTCGCAGGGGGGGAAATGTATCCCCGGACCAGCATTCCAAGGTTCAGTTGTGGTATTCCCGGTGGAAGACGAAGCAGTGAAAAAGAAAAGGAGTTTTGTGCTAACAGGGCCTCTGGATATCAGCGTAATTGCCGTTTCCCTTTTGCATTCTTCTTTCATGTGAGTGGGATGGTGTGAATTATTGTCCACTCTGTGATTTGTCCTTTTCATGCTTGTTAAAGGCCCAAGGAGAGCTCTCACCCCCACCTCTTCTCCTGACCTCCAGCTGTCTCCGCACAACTGGATACTGGGCTGACACTTAACCACGGTTAAACACTGTGCCTCTGGCTGGGACACGCAAACAGCTTGTGACAGCTCCCTTGAATTTATTATTAAAACTTCCAAAAAACACTCAGTTTTGTGAGTTTTGTAACTATCTGTGTTTTCGTGTTGGTTTACCTTCCAGAGTAGCACAGCTAACAGCAAAAAGATGAGGATTCCCACCAGCAGACTGATGGCAATTATCCAGCCGACGACGTAACCCCTCGGCTCTTGACTGTGGAGCGCCTCGAACACCAGCTGAAACACAGCAACGCCTCAGTGAGTCACACTCCAACACAGCACACACGCAGAGACACACTGAAATGCGCATTAAGTCATGCGCTGCTAATGATGCAATGCAGTGCAAAGCAACAACCAAGGAACATCTTATTTCAGCATGGTTTAGCTGATGTCAGAGAGCACGGGTAGATTCAAGAAAAGCTGCATGTGAACCAAAAACAGCAGGAAACTGGATACAAAAGGAATTAATTTTAGAACATTCTCGTCAATCACACACAGGGGTCACAAAACAGTCAAAATCAATGCAGATTTAAAATTAAATGACACTGTAAGGTATCATATGTTAACCAACATCCACTGAAATGCAATTTTATACTTGAGTTTTGAACACACCAAGGCAGGGACAGGGTGGTATAGTGACCCTTTGCTCCACATGTAAGTAATAGCAGCACAAACTGCCGTGAAACATATTTTCTTTCACATAATAAGTGAAAGAATTTTTGGACATATCACGACAATTCTGTCTGTTGGTCTGTCCAAACTAAAATATTTCAACGACTGCAAGATGGAGTGCCATGAAATTTATTTTACAGACATTCACAGTCTCCAGAGGATGAAGCCGAATGAGTCTTACTTTGGTTTCTGACTAAAACGTTTGACCATCCCAGCAGTGTGAGTTTTGTGTAGCAACATTAGCATAAAAACAAGCTAAACTATGATGGTGAATATGGTAAACATTTTGACTGCTACAGTTCTGCATGCCAGCAGTGACACTAGCAGTAAAGCAGTGCAGCATCTAAGGACAAACTCACAGAGCTGCTGCAGAATCATTGCTGTAGATTCTTGGTATTCATCACCAACTTAAACTGTCTAACAAGATGTTGCTTTTAACTTTTTTATCACTAGTCATCACAGAATTAGTCGGTAGGCTTGAGCATCACTATTTCATAATTTAGGCTGTTTACATTTTTATGTTTAATCCCAACAAGTATTCATCTTAATAGGTCAAAAAAAGTTAAAAATCATCCATTTCCTTTTTTCAGTCCGGAGTGCCAAGCTGTTTCTTTGAATCCCAGAGAAAAGCTAATTTAGAGTTTTCTCCATTTTGGGAGGCTTAGCAACTGTTTCCACAATAAATTACAGTATCTGGGCTGTTTCCCATGACATGGGTGAACACTGACCTGTTGGATAATCTGTCCCTGAGAGCAAACTAGGCTCACCAGTGCTTGGTAAAGACTTCACTACAATGGTGGGAGCTGGCACTCAACGACAAACTCTATATTTACTGTAATAATAATAAGCACAATTGATTTAAATCACCTTTTTGCACCACTGCTTTGGTTTTTACTTAAATATCTAAGAGGAGTAAAATGATCACATTAAAAGTTGAAAAATGAAAGTTCATTTAAAGCTATCTGAGTCTTTGGTACAAGAGTCATTCCCAGCACAATTACTCTGATTGTTTAAATTGTGAAGAGACTTATCACAGCCCCTGGGAGACACCAACTCTGCTGTATGAAGAAAAAGTGGATCAGGATAAGTCAGATAATAGGTTTTTTTTCACATCATTTCAGGGTGTTAGAAAATGTGTAGTTTAAAAAGTTTGCATTGAACTAGCAGTGTTTTAAATGCAGTAAAGAATTACTCTGCACCACAGTCTGCTTCAAAGTTGGCATTTTGGCCCTAAACAGAAAACAACACATGCACATTCAGGATCATGAAACTAATGTGTTTGTTCACTAATGACCTAAAACAAAGACAAACACTGTGTTTTCTCTCAAATGTCAGATTACCCTGTATGTGTTGCTGCAAACAATGGTGGGTCAGTTTCAGAGCTGGCTGTGGACCTTTGCTGCTACAATGTGCAGTGCTGCACAGGCTTTGAACGTAAATGTGGCATGAGCCGCCAACTGTAAGCACAGACAGAACCAAGTGGACAAGTGCAGCTTAATCTCTCTGTTGAATAGTTTCCCACATTAACACCTCCCTGTTACTCCGAGCTCTGGAATCTAGCTGTTGTTATGCATGCCAAGGCATTTGCGTGTACAATAAAGATGAAAGCTCGAAGGGTCACTGCTCTCTGACTCTGACTTTCCAAATTTAACTTTTGCAATCATCTTAATGTGAAGTATGTTAAATTCCGCTCTGCATTTTAAAACATGTATACCCACAGCAAAAACATGTGGATTTATGTGGGTTTGTTTACATGTCAAGGGTGATGAAAAGCCAAGCTTGTTGCTCTGCTGGAAACCACTATTCTTGCTGTGAACAGTACAACCAGGAACCACAAATTATATTTGCAGTGTGTACTCTAGCTAGCGGGGATCCTGAGGGAAAAGGTAACAGTGTTTACTGAAGCCTAGGGGGGTTAACAGCCGCTGGAATGAGCACACTCTCTAAGTGCTGAGAGAATGGCACGGCACGGACGTATTCATAGCAGGTCTGAATTTTCCGAGCACAACTGGAGCTCAGGGTCAGCAGTGCTGCAACCCAGTCGGCACCCTAATCTCTAAGAGATCCCACTGCGAGCAGGCTGGGTGCACAATATAATCATCAAATCTGATCTGGGGGGTCATTCAATCACTCAGCAAGCAACAGCAGGGGGAGGGTGTGTCCTTGTGCACAGCTGAGGACCCTGAAAACAGCCAAGAGAAGTGCCACCACATAATATACCAACAGCCCCCAGCTGTTCCCTGCACTCACATCCTTTATAATGATCCACACTGGAGCACATGAGTGGCCCAAGGAATGTCTAATCACCGCATGACGGACTGTGTGTCTAAATATAAAATATATATGCTTATTGAAATATTTCTACCATCAGATCCATGCAATGAGTACCCTGTCCTCCCCTAGTATGGGTGCATCCAAGCCACAGTAAGCATTTGCATCCTACCACAATGCTTTGTAGCAAGACATAGCAACTTTACCAGCTGCAGCAGCTCTGTTCAGCAACTAACCTCTGAATTTTGTCAAGAGTAGTCAGTCAAGGGTAGATGGGTAAGTTCATTTAAAGTCACATAAAAACCCAGATAATTTCTATTCTATCTCAAACTGACTTAATTTTGGCTTTATTTAGTGATTCAGTTAGATATGCATGACTGAAATTACAACAAATTTTCAGTGATGACATTCTGTTCACCCACTGAGGCAAACATCTAAAAACCTTCCAAATAAAGCTAAAAACTGTTTAAAAAACTGTGTATCATGACATTTAGGTTTTCTTTTTTGTTATTTGGTGAAATGACTATAAATCTGCACTAACTGCTTCTTTTAAACATGTACTTTAAGCACAACATGGACATATTATCTATTTATAAAACTGACATGGTGAACAGCTGTGTATTTAAACATCCAGCAGACGGGGAGCAACATTAATGTTCATTTGGAGTTGTGTTTCTGAGAAGATGTCAAATGCAAGTTCAATATTAGTGTCCTTTCAGCTTTATTTTGGTCTCCACCAGTTTTAGAGACAAATATCCATCTCCACTGCAATCAATATACAGTAGATAGATGAGAAACTTCATTTTATACTCACAGAAATGTCCTCTGGCAGGCCATTTGGCACCTCCACTGCCCTATCATTCACCTGCACGCTGCCCCTCGTCACAAACTGGATGACAGAGGAACTATCCTGTGGTTGGAGAGAAGGTGGGTTGCTGTTATTTTTAGAATCAAAATGACCTGAAACTTCATTTAGCGAGCTGGTGGTGTGTTTTACCCTCTTCAGGATTTCAGTGTTCAGCAGAAGTTTTATATCTATGCTCAAAGCTTCTTCCTTTAGCTGCGGTCCCAGACTGCAGGAGATCGTCATACATGCTCTCCCAGGCCGGTCACAGTCCTGTTGAAAAAAATACAGAGTTGTTTAGAAAAGGAGTGGGAAAGAGTGAGAGGAATGTGTGATAAACAAATGTTGCAATGACTAAAAAAAAAAACACAAGAGTCCCCACAGAGGGTGACTGTCAGTGACCTCCAAAATGTCAAAGTGCGACACGAGGGCCGCATATTTACCAAGACTTTGCGCCCTGATTTGGTGAAGAAGGAAAATATGGAGTGGAAGATGCTCTCTCTGTCCTGGGGGACGGTGCATGGTGTCGGGTTCCTGTGAGGGGTGCAGTTCCCTCGACCATCGGCCACCTGAGGCAGCCGCGTAGAAAAAGAAAGTTGCATTGATGATAATTTTAGATAAAATCATACTGACTATCGAAAGTTAGATCAAATAGGCATGTGTGTAATGGGTGCAGAGGAAAGCAGGAGTTTTGTCATGTTCATGCTGCAAAGGATAAGCTTGGGTTTGGGTCTGACTCCAAAAATGTCGACACAAGCACTTTTGTCACCTAAACTGGCCCAATCCAGCTATTGTTAGGCGTCTCCAGAGCTCACAGGATGTTCTCCCAAACAACACGCTGGTACCCCTCCCATGCAGATTTCCCATATGGAGTGATTTAGAGGTGTCTGGTTTACTGCCCAGCCCCCAGGGAGCACTTCCCCTTTCCCCTCTCCTCGGTCCGACCTGAAGCTCTGGAGGTGGAAATCTCCTCTGGCCTTCCTCATTGTCTGCTCAGCTACCACCCAGCCTGTCTGAGCTTTTATTGCAGCGCTTTCTCATGTCTTCTGTTTCTGCTGCTGCTGCTGCTGGTGTGAAGATTCATAGGCTGCACTAACCGCTGCACTAACTTCTACCCGCTGAAATCCCCCACGAGAGCAGAATTTCCACAGCAATTATTAAAGTTTGAGGGATTTTGTGCGGAAAAACTAGAACACTTGGAGCAACAGTCAGGAGCTTGTATATTATCTCCGAGCTAATCGAGTTCTGTATAAAATGGAAATACCTGGCTATAAAACATAAGTGTGCAACTGTCCGGTGTGCCACAGGCTAGACGCAGTGTTAACAGCGTTTATGATGTGTGGTTCCAGGCTGGGGATGGTACAGGGCAGTAGCCAGCTCTGCAGGTGTCCCATTCCCATTTCGTGCAAACTGTCTGATCCCCTGAAAGTGATTCCAGATGGGCTCTAGGAGGGTGGGATACAGTCAACCCTGTCTACCCATTCACAGTAAATACAATTAACAGCTTGAGCTCCCCCATGATCTACCTATATGAAAGGAGCAATGCAAGGGTTAAGAAAACATTTGAACCCAGCGGGAGGATTGTGTTTCTTTATCTAAATGCAAAATGTTGTGAAACAAAATGGAGGGCTAGCTTCAGTAGCAACGTCAACATTTTCGCTTAGATTTTCACTAGTCCGGCGGTGCCCCACGCTAAGCAAAATGTCCTCGTTCTGACAAAAAGCACCTTTCTATATGTAAACGTGTCCTCTGAGCAGCTGTGCCATGAGGTGAAGCAAGACGAACAGGCGTGGGCTGGATAAATGAGCTAAAAATGTGGCTGCCTGCAGGTGAACAAACTAATAAATAATGATTTGGGCTGGATAAATAATGTAGATAGACTGCTGTTGGCATCCACCTGTGTTTCAATGATGTGGAACATGTCAGCTCCGCTGCCAGCCAGCCGGTTAGGTATCCTGATGTCCACAGTGGAGCCAGGCAGCCTGCTGGGCCCTTTGTTTATGGCCTGGAACCACATCACACAGAGGCAGAGAAAGATGGAGACCAAAGAAAAGAGAAGTGAATATATAGGGAAGAATCTTAAAGTAAAAACTGTATATGCGCTGTGCTTGTACTACCTGGAAAGTGAGATTGAGAAGCTGAAAGTTGCACTCCATGTCTTCCAACTGGACGAAGCGGGAGTCATCGATGGAGTTTCCGTACACAAAAGAGGTCGGCGCTACCACGCTGCAGATAACAACCCCATTGTTCAGGAGGGACATAATGCATTATCGTAACAAATACATATTTAAATAGACACAGAAATAACATTTAAAAAGAGTTTCATCAAAATCTCTGGCTTCGATCATGTTCAGCTGAACAGCAGTGTTTTCTTTAGCAGCTGAGATATGTGTCCAGCTTTGCTCTGAAGCCTCCCCTCACATTAAAGACAGCAGCTTTATCAGATGTCAGAGCTCTGGGCTGTTTTACATCTCCCTCCCTTCTCTGTGAAGCAGAGCTAAGATAAAGCATTCAGAGATAAGGCTTTTCAAGTTGATATCCTTCATACTGAGAGAAATAACTCCCTCTCTGCCTGAGAGCCAACAGATGGACCAGTTCAACTCATTTGAGGCATATAAATTAAAGAGTTTTTCAGCAAAGCACTTTCAACCAAGGTATTAAAAGGGCTATATATATATATATATAAAAAAGATTCCTTACTTACTTAAAATGCCTACATAGCTCTGACTGTTCATGTTAGTCATGTTCTTACCCAGTAATAGTGGTGTCGGTCTCATGAATCAGAGGGATGGACAGATCTAAAGTGTTGTCGGAGAGTTTGTGCTCAGGATTGGCACTAAAAAAAACACGGAACAAGAAAAGTGAAAATTTTTTAAACTTTATAAAGCATACATTTGGGAACGTTTATGGGAATAAATCTGCATATCCCCCCCACACAAATCCCTTCATTACACAAAAGAAATGTGAAACTTTTACCTTTTTGCTTGAACTAAGAATTGCAGTGTGTCATTTTCCCCAGAGAGCTGACTTGTGTCAAAAATCACTGCAAAATGATACTGCAGAGAGGGGAAAAGACAGAATTTTCCATGTGATGAAACATGTTTGCAGTCATTTTTTTTCTCATTTAAAAAGTGCAGTCAACAGGGGGCATCTGCACACCAATGCATTGTGCTGTACTTGAGTTTTCTCTTTAAAATGCTGCATGTAGGTTTGTGCAATTAGGTCTACCTTAGTCTGTGCTCTCATGAAGGGAAATCCCACTCTGCATTTGAGGAAGTCCAAATCAACAAGTGCACAGGAAATACCCTTCTCTTCCTGCAAAAAGACAGATAGAGACAGAGAGTGAGGAGGCGGTGAAGACAGACTGACTGGAGACAGAGTGGGTGACACATATGGAGACAGAAGACACAGTGAGGAAGAACCGGCAGACAAGATGCAGGCTGACAGAACAATCAGTGCCGATAACTTAAGGAAAGAAGATCAGCAGTGGCTTTGGATGGTAAAATAAATACAGTTTTTCAGCAAAATACTGTACTCTCTGGGGGATATATCTGCCAACGTATACAGTATATTCTAAGATTATCATTATACATATTTCTGAATGTAAACAAATAGATTTTAGTGTCTCATTGAAGTTCTAAATTAGGTTAAACAAAGAATGTACAAAGCAGTGATGGCACACACATCTTAGCGGGCGGGTAATTGGACAACCTCCAGGCTGTGTGTTTGGAAGCTTGTCTAAACAATATAGAGCTTCACCGGCTGCGCTGTATAAACACTCGGGCCTTGACCCTACGAGGAGTAAGAATTCTTTTAGCGAGAGTTCACTGAGGGGGCTGTCAGCTGAGCTCATGTGCAGGGAGCATGAAAGAGGGCAGAGATAACTCAGGACTTTAATAATACATAAAAGAGACAGAGTAGAGCTCCTGGAATATTCACAGAGGTGTCTGGGTCAGTCATACAAAACGTCTGCATGCACGGGCTGCTGTGAGTCCGTGTTTACGACACGCTTCCAAATTTGATAAAGGAAAGAGGCGTGACGGTGTCTGCAGTATGCTGACATATTTAAAGGTAGGCATCCATCCACTCTCCCATTCTCCCTTATTCAGCGGATTCCCAGTGTCAGCTCAGGGTGTGGCTTTGCCCCTCCGTCTTCATTAAGTCAGCTTAAATAAGCGGCGCTGCCCTTTGCAGGGAGACTGCAGAGAGCCCTGCAGAGGGGAGGTGGGGACCCATCATGACTGGCAATGGTGGAATTTCCTCTACTTCCTGTACTCCTCTGTGCTGCTGTGCAAACACCGCCTGTCCCACGGGGCTGGGCAGGATTGGGGAAGTCGGCGTGTTTACCCATCACCCACCTGGCAGCCCTTGAGAGAGAGCAGAGCACTCGGACATATGGCCCGCTGCGTCTCCAGAGACAATGTCTGTTTGTCCAGCACTTCTTCACTTTCTTTCTCTTGCTTACTTTCTCCTGTCTTTCTCTATCTGGAACTAATACAAACTGGGATTTTCACAAATGGCTGGACTATTAAACATCATCAAGACTGTTTACCCTGCTTCAGTGTCAGCTGAAGAATCTATTGGAGTAGTCAGTGTGGATGACAATACACAGGAGGCTTATTTTCTGCATGTTCTGTGTGTCTCTTTATGTCTCCAAACACTTTGGTATTTGGACATTTGGCTTTGCTATGGTCTACCTTTTCCAAACTAGTGTCATCACCTACTTTATCCTCTCTACACAGGTATGAGGATGAAGATCTAGCTCTGGCTTTCACAGCATGTGCAAAGTTTTACTTCACAGCCAAGAAAATCAGTGAATCATATACTCTTAGGTTTTGAAGGTTCACTGAAATTCGCACATTTCTCAGTTGCATTCCCAACTTCTGGGCTTTTCACCACAACGCTCGTCTGTTCCAACTGTTAAATCACCAGAAATCAGCGGCGGAAGAAGGACTCAGAGCCTTTACTTGGTTTGAACCTGCAGGTCATTTGGGGTCTTCTGGTGTATTTGTGGTTTTTCCCGGTGCTCTGGCTTAATCTCAGAGCCCAGATACATGTATGTTTAAGTTAACTGCTGATTCCAAATTGGTCATAGGTGTGAGTGTAAGCATATACGGTCTGTCTCTTTACCTTAGCCCTGTGATGGACTAGCAACCTGTCTAGGTTTTACCTCACCTCTCTGTCAGCCCCTGCAACACTCTACAGGATAAACAGCAGATTAAACTGATAGATGCATTGCAATTAGCAACTGTAGTTATCGAGTTTTGTCACACTATACAAAACAGTGGAACACAGTGCAACTGCTGTGTCAATATTTAAGCAGCACATAAATAATCTAGGCAGTGAAGTTAACGCTTTACATATTGCTTACTAGTTTATTTAAACAAATAATACTTTAGATAAGGCTATTTCTTTGTGTGTGTAAAATGTATATCAGTCCAGTAAATTGCAACCAAACAGAATTCTTTAGATAAATGTAGTAATACAATGGCACAAAACATCTTCCACAGTTTTGGCCACTTAAAAAAAGAAGGTTAAAACTGACTACCCAAACATTGTAGAGATAACAAATGAAGCACAAGCACAGTAGCCAGTGCAGCAGCTACTGAGTCCCACGAGTATATATGAAGGCACTGCTCCTGAAACCAATTCACCTCTGCAGCTTTCTAACAGCTTGCGTTGCAAGAACAACAGAGAGATAACACATCACACTCCTAAATGTGAAGGGGGAGTACAAGTTCACGCTTCGCTCACCAGAGAAAAAGCCTCAGGGGAAGGTTAGGAGCTGACCTTAACTTTGCAAAAAGGGGTCACATCATCACCTCAGACTTCTCCGGCAGTAATTAGAAATGTCTCAGAGAGCATACGGCAGTAAATCTGCTCAGCAGCCCCTTTGCCATCGATTCCTCCTGTTCCCTTTGTTGGAGCAGGCCACCTTGACTCACCAGGTTCCTGAACAAAATGAGGCTCTGGGGCTGCTGGTAACATGACACTTAATGTCAGCCCAGTTCATTAGATTAGCTATGAAACTGAAACGCGCTCACTGTTTTTCTAATATTCGCCTGCAGCATGTATTCTATTTAAATTCAATTTCACCTTTGTTGGGGGTTTTAAATCACGCCACTGGTTGTGTGCTTTACAGAGATCATGGGGGTTAAAAAACCCAGCTGGGAGATAAACATTAGTCCATTATGAGGGGGGGGGGCGGTGGAAAAGCCTTCCTGATGGATGCTGTCAGAGCACACCATCTGACGTGGTGTCTCTCTCCAAGCCGTGAGCTGATCTGCGGGTGTCTTTGCAACAAGTGAGCGAACAGACGTGAGCGGAGGCAGAGGCGGCTGCTGCGAAATCCATCTGCACGCAGCAAGGAGAGTCTCAGGTCTAATGTAGGATGGCAGTGGGTAGATATGTCTTTAACAGTGACAGAATGCAGAAATCATTAGAGGTCAAACTATGTGAGGAGCAGGTCTGATCAGTATCTCCATGAAGGCTAGTCATAATCCTCACTTTACATACCTGCATTTAAAAGATTAAATGTGACCTCATGTGGGGCTTTTTTGGACATGAATAATGTGGTTTGAGTGGTAAATAAGTTAAACTTGTGGGACTATGAAGTATGTGTGCCTTGTTCTCATGCATGCAGCTCATTTGTCGTTGACATGGTGCGTCTGTTTTGAATGAGTCACAGAAGCGTATGACAGCTCAGCCAGAGGAGCTCCCCTCTGAAACAGGACAGCTGTTGCTGCTCCTGCTGAGGCTCCCCTGCCTCCTATTCTTTCATCTACCTACATGGCTCGGGCAAAGGTAGAAGTTCATCAGTCCTCATACAGGTCTGCGATCTTTTTCACTGTTTACACTGCGTTCCTTACATACAATCATATAGGCTTTTTAAATAGTCTTTCTCTTTGAGAAAATGCACATCTCAGCAAAAAAATCTAAAGCCATTCATCTGATATGTGTGTGTAAAATACGATTTTTGTGTATAATTTCAACTTCAGTTTCACTCGTATGTAACTAAAGCAAAGCAACACCCAGTTGGATTTCAGGAATAAACATGCGCGGCAGAGTAAATAAACAGCAGATGCTCCAAGAACTACAGACCTTCTGCCAGTAGTTGATGTAGAACACTTCTCTGGAGAAGTTCAAGTAGACGTTGGTGTCGTAGGCGTCATCTCCAGCGTTGGAGATGGTCAGGTTCAAAGAGACGTTCTTCACTCCTCCGAGGGCCAGATGGGGTTTACTATACAATCTGGAGGAGGCATGAAGTAAACAATGTATGTCAGGAAATCATTTTTGAAAAACTTCTCAGAAAGAACAACAAATCAACATGTTGTTTTACATACAGAGAGGAGTGTAACTAAAGAAAATGATTCACTTGTTTTTGAAGTAAAACAAAGAATATATTTAAAACAAATACTTGTTAGAATGACAGATGTAAAGTGCAACCAAATGTACAGACAGTAGAAGACACACAATAAAAAGAAAGGGAACTCCCTAACGATGGAAAAACATATGGATATCCTCCAAGCATGCGTCATGGTTCCACTACCCACACCCACACGGCCTATGACGTCAGCTCGCTTCCTCAGGACTGGAAGAAAAGGCCAAGAACAGAGAATGAAAAGTGAACTGCAAAGTTGAATGTTTTTACCCAGAGAGCAGCAGTTTCCCATGAAGCCTGAGGTCTGCAGCACAGTCGTCTGACAGGCAGTTCTTCTCGAACCATGTCTGAAAAAGGAAAGTTCATATGAGCTCATGCAGTCCAAACACACTGACTCCATATTCAGACTAGGGGGCAGTGTTGTGTTGTTGTTGGAGCTACCAAGTAGATTTTTTATATATATATATATCCAGGAAAGCCAGAATCTGCTCTGATCTCTCCTTGTAATTAGTCGGACGACGGCCTTTGGTTTAAGGATAAATCATAAAAGGAAACTTAAGTCAAAGCTGTAAAGTTTGATGTCATGTTAATGACTTTCAGATAAACGGATTCTGTAAATGCTGAAAGACGCAAATCCCTCAGGTTTTTTTTCAAGCGTTGCAGACACTGGGGAAACACATGTGGGGCAGGTTAGAGGTGGTCGCAAAGAAAATAAATGAATCAGTCTTTTTGGATTCCACTCAAGAAAAGCTAACAGAGAAAATAATAAGCTGGTAACTAATACCAAATCATCATAACCCCTGTTTGAGCTATTTCCTTCATTCCTTCTGTGGTCCATGGGAAGACGTGACTTTCATTTAATATCAAATGTGAGGAGAATTTCGCTTTCAGGAAATGAACTATATCTGAATCTGAGTTATTAGAAAATCATCCTCTTCCTATGAGAGCAGGATTAACATAAAACGACTAGAATTTGGACTTTTCCATAGAAAGAAAGCAACCTATAGATTGTTTTCATAATTATTTTTTTTAACACACATCATGAACTAAATGACTGATTGAGGAAACAATTGTTATTAATAATCATTTGTTACAGTCTTAAACACTTGCAGCACTCCTGAAATAAGCTGCAGCTTTATAAATGTGAAGTAATTCATGACAATGGAACAAAAATGAGACTGAATGAAGCTTCAGTTCGGGAATCACTGTTATCTATTGACAAAAAAAAAAACAAAAAACAAAAAAAACTGAAGAGCGGCAAATGCCTATCTTCTAAAAAATTTTTACTTAGCAATGGGGCTTGACAGTTTTCATTTTCCCAAAGGTAACAGCTTTAATCATCCATTTTGTCCCAAGATCCAACTCCAGGAAGATAAATGTAAAATGTAAAAATGTTTTTTATATTCATGGTTCTCACAGAGGGTCGCTTTAAATAATAATCTCTATATAACAACTGTATCAAACTTTGTTAAAAGTTGCAGATACTGCAGTGAAGAATAAGAAACTTTACTTTTTAGGGTAAATATTAATCTCTGACTTCTCAGTATGCAATGTTTTATTACTATCTTTTTTTCTAGTAGTGAAAATGAGAAGGTCTGAAACCTTCATCAGCTAAATTTGAAAAACAACATATATGAACATACACGAATATCAGTCATTGTTGTACCTCGTTCCTCGCTGCAATCTTGTTTCCTCTCTTCCATCGCAGCACTGGTGTGAGCGCCGGCAGGTCTCGATCCTGGTGTCCCGTCAGCACGTGCCTCCCCAGGCCGTAAGCCACCTCGAACGCGATGGCTGTGAACACGTCCTTCACATCTTTCTGCAGGGAACACAAACAGCGAGGCTATTGCAAAGAATCTCTCCGACCAAGAGACACAAAGCTATTAAAACTAAATGCAACTTAAAAAGAGTGTCATGAAACCATCTGGGTGATTATAGTAATTTAACATCTTTCTATGATTAAGGCCTGGCAGAAAGACTGATTACTCTGCAGATTATCAGAAGATCACACAGTCTGGATATGATATTATCACAGTAATCACTGTGCCAAAAAGTCACAGAGGGAACACAGATGCATAGATACAACACAAAACCATATGAAGTTGTTTAAATGAATGTGTGACCCATCTCTCTAATCAATGGCCATTTCTTTTTTCCCTTTTTGTAATTTACATGTTAAAAGTAATAAAAGTAATAACCACTGCAAATTCTCAGCAAAGTGGATCTTTTTTTTTTTTAACCTGCTGGCACTAGCTCTGAGATGTATCGTTGAGTTTCTGGCGGCTCCATGTAAGACCACAAAAGAAGTGTTTGATTTGGCATGGGGCTTGGAAACAATGCAGACAGAATGAAAACAGAGCTAATGTGATCAAATCCTGCATCGTCATTAGATGACAGCGCTGAAAGACATACATGGGAAAAGCAGATACTCGTGTTGGTTTTTCATCTCCTTTTGTCTATAACAGCTACACTCAGCTCTTTGAAAGCAACTTGGTGGGTCTGGCTCCGGTCTCGCTGTCTAAAAGCCGCAGCAAAATAACACACACACAAGCTGCAACTGCAACCTGTGTCTGTAAGTCCGACGTGGAGCCATGCCCGCGATGTGAAAACAAAGAGCTTCCCTGTGTCTTCCCCCCTGGTCGTTTAGGTGACTCGTTCTTTTGAACTTTTTTTCTTTTGTCCTTTTTATCGCAGCATTTTTCCAGTGTCCACCCACCCCGTCCTCTTTCCTCAGGCCGGCGCGGGGCCAGTCTGGGCTTTGAGCACATTAGACATCGCTGCTGCCGAACCCAACCCAACCCAGCTCATCAGCAGTGAGAGAGTTACAGCAGGAAAGAGCAAATGTTGGTGCAGGACATGAATAGACAAAAACAGATGATTTGGGGCTCGTTTGGGAAATGGTGCAGCGCGCAGATAAAGACGCGGCCTTGATGATAAAATCGAACAGATTTTGGTCAATTTCTGTCGGCTGGTTACACAGCTGACGATCAATAACAAAATCACATCTATTTTCATTATCTGTTAACGTACCAGCGATTTTCTTGATTAAACAATAAATCATGTCTTTTGTAGAAATGTACCCACACCCTGAGCTGACACATTGAACTTGAACATCGAATATGTGGCAACTCCCACCTTTTGATTTATCATCCAATGGATCCGAAACCCTGCTCACCCGCTTGTACACTCGGTTTAAGTTGACTGTATCTGTTTGCCTCGTGTTTCTTTCCACTTTGACTCTGATGAAGACAGAGTGGTGTTGAAATGTAATGGGTTTGCACAATAAAAAGGCTGTGAATTAATCAGTGTACTTCAGTCTCGCTTTTGTACTCTAGGGATTTGCTGAGAAGCATCTGATTCAGTTACATTTCGCTGGAGGATACGTGGTGAATCCTGTTCAAATTACATAATTTATTCATTCATGTGAACGATGGAACCAATGCATTTAGTGCAAGTCTGCAGTCCACATGATAGCAACTCTGCCTTCAGCAAAATGGTAACTTCAGCATGTTGACCCGTTCACGGTTGGTACGCTTACCAGAACATTTAACTTTTCGAAATGATTGACTGACCAGAGCAGCATTGCCGTCCCGAGCTGCTAGCGTGACTACATGCATCACTAGCATGATTTAATCAATCATCAAAACATTTGCAGGAAAAAGTCTGTCCATCAACTCAGCTTTAATTGAAAACGACAACATTAAATGTAGAAATGCAGACATGAGGGCTTCACCTTACATCCATCACAAAACTGCAGTTCAGGCCTCATTGGACCTATAGAGGCGACGTTGATCTAATATGTCAGCTCAACCTGCAGGTAACGTGACACAGTCAGTGTAGGACAAATAAGTGGAATACAGTGTGAAGCACTGGCAAAGCCTTCAGCCTCAATAGCAATTAAAGCAGAATGCTTGAAATGGCCTCTCTCCGCTGGCCTCTGAGTGAACTGACCCCCTGGGAGCTGCCTGCTTGGGTCTCCAGCCTCAAACTCCCACTGCTTATCTCACATATTCACGAGCCACGGGGGAACAAGAGGACATGGTGGGTTGAACTAAAATGAAGTGCTTTTGCATGCTTAAAAGCGACTTGTAAGTAAATAGGCATGATCCTTCTATTAGACTAGTGTGCAGTGAAGGTATTGCTGCACTTTTTTTTTTTTTAAACAAAGGATCTATTATTGTGCAAATGTAGGAGCACTTTCTCCCTAAAACACAGAATTACTGCTAATTAACTGGCGAGCTCCCAAGAGTCACAGCATGCTCACTTTAAAAGCAGTCTGTTTGGTAACACTTGGCCTAAGATTTTATTATCCCTTGATCAGAATTGCCAATTGCCCCACCCGAATCTCCACCCTCAGTTGGGTCATTTACTCCCACCTGATCCTGCCTTTAATTCCTGTATTTATGGAACAGAGGAGTTCCTGAGCTCCAGCCCAGAAAGACAGCGGCCAGTGTTAACTACCTGTTACCTACGATTTTATGGAAAGAAACCCAACAACTGTTCCTCACATGTTTGTCGAAGTTCAGAGGAGAAAGTGTGTGACGGGACATTCTCTGCTCAACAGGCTCGCACTGTGTTAATCCTCATTCAAACACAGAAGCAACAGGGTGCGTCCCCCCCGATCTCAGATCAGATAGAGGAATGGAATGGATGGAATTTCTGATATTTGAACTGCAGTAATTTTATACCCCTGAATGACTACCAACATAAGAGATTCAAACAGATTTGGTGTTGTGTTTATCGATGCTGTTTCCACCACTTAGAGAAACAGTCGACTGTGAGTGTTGCAGGCAGCTAGATAGTTATTGTGGTGCATTTGTAAAGAAGCAACAACAGATAAATGGTTAAAAAAAATGGCAACAAGTTTGACTGAGATGAATGCAATTGCTTCTAACTTGCACGTGGACTGAAAATGACAAAACTTCACTCGAAATATCTGGTAGTTTTTGTTTCACAAAAAGAACAATTTTAAAAATCACAATTTTTAATTTTTTTTTTTGCAGTTTTTGTGATTCTTTAAGCTCCACTCTGCAGGTTGTTTCCATCAGTCACACTGTCTGTTCTGCTATTACTACTGAGGGTGCCAAAGTTACATTTTTAAACCATGCACATGGAGGTTTTTAACAAGTTGAAGGATTTTTTATTTTTTTTGTTTGGACTGCATCCTAGGAGATGGAAATCCTGCCAGCAAATATATCAAATATTCTGCATGGTCACTTAAAAATCTTCTGAAACCTCTCATCATCCCATGGACAACATTACTCATTAAAGGTTCCAGTCAATACTGTAGAGATGCCAGAAAACTCAGCGAGAACCAGCTGTTTTCCAGCGGTTTCCGCCATAATTGTGCATTTTCAGCCATAGGATGAAAAATCCGCATGTTGCAGCATTTCGTTTTTTTTTTGTTTTTTTTAACGACACACTTGGTGCGAGTGCTTCCTCCCTGATTATTCGTATATTTAATTGACAGGAACCGTGTCAGCTTGCCATTCAGCATGTTTGGAAAGAAAACAGCTTGAAGTCATACCTTAAGCTGCCACACTCGCTCGCTCTGGAACAAAGGTTCTGCAAGTAAACGATCTCAGTGTGTATGTTCACACTTATTTATTTGGTACAACAGAGCATAACTTACACATTACCAACCATTCTTTCCCCTTTGACTTTGCTTTTGACTCTTTCCCACACATTTATGAAGGAAGAATTCCTGTTTTTAAGAACTGATTCTGCTACTGTATGAATTAATCTAATTTAGTTGAACATATTTTATAGATTTGTTCAACTGTGCTCCAGTTACACTCCCGGTGTTGCAAGCTCTGATTTCCACATGTTAATCTGATCAACGAGATGGCAACACACCAAGCTGCCCCCTTTGGAGCTCACAGAGCAGCTCCTCCGTGGTGGGTGAGGGGAGGATGACGTCAGGCTGCAAAACGCTCTGATCCTCAGTTTAAACGCCTCACGCTTGGCTGAAACGCACAAGAGCTCCTCGCTCGGCCAAACCATTCCTTCAAAAGCATATAGTCTAAGCCCGGTCATGGGAAGTCTTTATTAACTCGAGAGGAAAACGCATACACAGTGCTCCTTTTTAGGACAATGGATGTTTGGATGACTCGCAGGTTGAAGCCATTTTATTTAAGGGCCGAACGCCAGGGAATCTTAGTTTAAATGGAAAAAGCTTTTCAGTGAAGTGATGAATGGAGTGAGCCTGTCAAAGGGCAGGGGCATGTGTGTACACTGAGACACAATGAGACAACTTCAAAATGCAAGTATTTACAGTAATGTCTGCAGCACATGGCAGGCGTGCACTTAAACAGCTTATCTCGGCGTGTCCCAAAAAAAAAAAAAGTTGAGAAGTGAGAGAATTGCTGAAACTTTTAGAGGCTGCAGGTCAAACTGCAGCAGCTGCTCAGCTCAGAATAGGTTAGCAGATGTTGGGAAGCCTCGAATGACAAACTGTGCAGGAGGAGATAAGAGGGTTGTCCGATTGTTTTAGCTAGAAACTTCTTTTTTTTTTTTTTTTGGAGAAGAAACAGCTTTATCCTGTCTGTGAACATGATCCTCGTGCTGCTAAATCTTTCTGGTCACGTGTCATGGCAGAAAAATGAAGAGTCTTACGATGACAGATATGCAATCTTTATTCCTAAACGAGAAAAGATCTGCTAACAAATCACAAGGCTCACACACATATTTGACAGAAGGCTTCACTCACATTTAACAATCACTCTTTACATCCTGCTAAACTCCCCACAAGGAGCAGCTCTTCAGTTCAGCCTGCTCTTTGCCAATGGCAGGATATTTTTGCAAAAAAAATCTCAATAA